ACTGATGTGAACAGGTTGATCTTGGAGGGTCCCCAGTACCCAAGCTTGTAACACTGGATACCATAAAGTCTCTTATTTACAGGTTATTTTTAGAAACTGGAGGAAGTAATGGAGAAAGAGGAAAAAGCAAAGGAGATCATTTTTGAAGAAATCAAACCATTGGCAAGTCACTATTTCAATTCCTTTCCCTTTCTTGTGGATGGGTCTTTAACCTAGAGCCTGTCATTTTAGAGATCAACAGAAATTGAAGACTATGTTCTTACATTTTACCCTGTCAGGTCTTCAAAGACTGACTTCTCTAATAGGCTATATATATATGTATATATTTTATATAAAACACATTTGAAAAATATTTATTATACATTATATGTAATTATAATATATATATATATATTTAAAAAAAGAAAGTGTATTTACTTTCTTTCTTTGAACTACCTAGACTGCTGAAATAGTATTGCCCTTGCTTGGGAATTCTTTTGGTTCTCAGAGACCAGCTCTCCCAATACAGTCGCTACGAATGGAAATGGGGAGTCTGGAAAAGTCTGAAAAACTCTTCCGAGCTGGCAGAAGATGCAGAATCCAGAGCTCTGGGGCATGCACAGCTCTTGGGTCCCAAGCTGAGCCTCACTTGGGCCTGACAGAGTACACAAGTCCGAGTCTTAGGCTATGCTACCTGAGCCAAAGCTTAGACGCAGTGTCCTGGAGCTCAGCTGAAACAAGCATCAGGCTGATAGACCTCAAATTCAAAAGAGAAGCTGAGAGATGATTCAAGACAACAATCCTGTCCTTGGTAGGGATGTACTCTCTTCCAAGCAGTAAAGGCAAGGTGCGTGACCATTTAGGGACACGATCCTCTTGTTCCATCAGAGACAAAGCTCAAGGCAGAAGTTTTTGCCAGCAATTACATCACTGAAGAGAAAAAAAAGAAAAAAGCTGAGGCATTTAGCTGGCATATAAAGAAAGGAGAAAGCAGCACACCAAGAACTGCCATGTTAGAAATAGACATAAAAATAGACTAGCTATCTGAGAAGACCACAAGGTACTTAGCAGGTCATGCTTTGCAAGGAACTGAGGCACATTGCTCCCTGCATCCTGGCTGTGTGTGATTCACAGCGGGTGGTAGCGGCAAGCAGGACAGACACAATTAGGGTTTTAAAAGTCTCCAGTTTCATTATACCCATAACAGGAATGGGTTTACAGACTGCTAGTCAAAGGGCATCATCCCTTCAACATATTCTTCTTACTATATGGTGTCTGTTACACTATAAACCTGAAGCTCTGGAATGTATGATTAAAAAATATCCCATCTTTACAGTTCAAATAGCACCAAGTTTACATTCAATAAAGAAATAGTTATTTCATTTTCTCATTACCCACAGTGTTAGTAAATAATTCATATGAAAGAAGGAGAGTAATCTAAATAATACATTATTGCCACTACATAGAAATTCTGGCAGACAAAAGCTAGTGATACAACATATATCATAAATATTAATTAGTTCATAAAATCTGTATATTAAAAGACAGACAAATCCACAATTTAGGACTGTAATCTATAGTTTGCCTGCCTGAAAATCCCAGTATTTTTCCAAAGAAGATTTAAGCTTATTCTAGCTTAAGTCTTTTTGTATATTCCCTCTTTCAGAAAATGAATTACCTTTTGCTGATTTTTGTTGTTGTTGCAAATTCTTAAATATAATTCTTAAAAATATATAATCAATTATTACAAGAGCAGTTATTTTAAAATGAATAGGACACCTAATTGAATCTCTAACTTTATATATAATTTTATACTGTCGTATATAAAACTACTCACCACAAGTCAGAACCTGTTAGATCCTTTACTAAGCAACATATTTCAGTGTGCAAAAACAGAAGTTGAAACAGTCATTGAAGAACAAGTATCTCCTTGAATATTACATTCAACAGCTGTATTGCAGAACATATTGGGTAGCACTTTCATTATAGAAATTATTGTTTAAAATGTGTGTGGAAAGATGTGGCAGCTGTCATGTTAAAACATGAAGTGCCAAGGTATAGAGCAAATATAACTAATTATATTTCAAAAGGAAAAGATCATTTTAACCGTAGCTATAATTAGTAGAATGATAACTGCCCAGATCATCACATTGACATTAATGGATTCTGGAGTAGGATGACCTTAGAAAGGTGATCTTCAAAATGAATCCATATCCACTGCTGTGTGCTTGAGATACATGTTACATACTTCTTTTTCTTGAAATTTCAGCTTTAAAATTATGGGGCTTTAAGTGGTATGTGTATACGCATATTGTGTATACTTTTATACTTCTAGCTAAGACTATTTGGTCCACCATCAACTAGTCCCAGACGGAAATTTATACTAGTTGTCTTTGGTACTTATTATGAAGCTCTATCAGCACTTTGGGAAACAAGTCTGTGAAGCATCTACGACTGTTCAACTCGTCACATGTGAATATACTCTATTAGTATTATGTACTTAAAAGCATTCCATTTAATTTTAGCCGTAATGTTATTTTGACTGTATTTTCTAATAGCCTATTTGTTAATTTGCGCAGTGAAGTTACAAGAATAGCTTCTATTCTACTACTCTAAAAAACACAAAGAGAAATGAGATTAGTTCAAGACAGTAAAAAATTCTTCTAGCATTTCACACCTGCCATTATTTTCTGTTATTTTAGCATCAGATTTCTTTTGTGAAAGAGGAGGTACCCATTCCCTTCCCGTGCCCTGCAGTCACATATATTAAGGTCTCTGCACTCGGTATCTATCTTCATCTGTTTGGCACCTGTGAAATAAGATGGCATCTTTCATCAGCAGTGCATTTCTCTACAGAAAATCCTCATTCCCAAATATTACTGATTTATCAAACTTCTTAAAAAAAAAAAACAAAAACAGCAAACATGATTCCTTTAAGTTAGCTGTTGTTAAGGCATTGATGACACTGAACACTTCTCACAATAAGATTTTCTTTTATTAGAGATCTTATATTACATTTCCCCAAATGATATAAAACCTTCCAAGAGAAAATATCAAAACCCTTCAATTTAAATCAGTTTGTTTCAGAGACAACATGAGCAGGTAAAAACAAAGACATTTAAGATAAAGGAATGTAAAAAAATCTCAGTACAGGTACAATTCCGATATTCTTATACAGCATTGTCTTTAAAACAATATTGGTTGAACGTAAGGATGCTTGGTTCTCTTAACCAGTAGTTATAAAACCAGCAGCTATAAAAATAGAAAAAAATAAAGAATATGATGAAATTAGATGGCAAATGCACAGAAGAACCAGAACTTGAAATCTCTTATGTAAGTACAGTGTAAGAATTCACAATAGCTGTTGAAAAGCATCAACAGCCACATCCTGAACCAATTATGGCAAAATCTTTCATTAGGCTTTGGAGTTTTAACTTAAGTGTTTTAGGAAAGGGCTCCAAACTGAAGACTGTTCTACTGTTGCATTAACAAAAAAAAAAAAAAAAATCTGCTGGTTAAGGAAGATTCAGGCATCATGATTGTACAGCTGATGATAAATTAAAAAGATACAATGCTATGAAACATCTTTTGGAAGCAATTCCAACAGGCAAAATACTTTAAAACTTTATTGCATCAAGATTTTACTTTTCTGATTAACAAAATTTAAAATAGAATGAGAGCTCTCTTGCACAGAACACACAAAAGTCTCTGAAGTGTTTTAATTCTTAAAATGCAACAAAAGAAATGTTATTAGAACCTTCTGCTGGCAAGTCTACCAAGCGGTAAGTTCCAACAAGAAAGAATAATATTTTCAAATACTATAACTAAAAAAAAAAACTTACAGTACATGTTTATTGCATGAAAACATCCATTTATTGGATCCATCCGTTTCTTCCATTTATGGTTAGTGGTTTTTATGTTCTTGACATAACTTGCACCAGATCCTGCTATATATTCCATTAATTACAAAACATACAGTAGATTGAGTTAAGTAGGGAAACCTACGCAATCCTGACAGAGATCCAGCCATGACAATGTATGAATTAAAACTTACTTTCATTTTCTTTAAGATTGCCTGTAGCTACAAGATATAATTTGATACGCTGTGGAACGATAATGATCAAATTGAGAACAGTTGGCAATGTGAAGAGTTACAAAATAGCACATCTTTCTACCAGTTGACTTTTCATGCATTATTATTAAAGAAACCGTGACATATGGAAAAGCAAAGGTTAAGCAAGAGATGGAAAAAAGGGATATGAAGATAAATAAAGATCAGTAAAGGGGATCATACTCAAATGCATGTTTGTATGTTTTAACTGTAAACAGTAGTTCTACATAGGGAAATATTTTCCACACTCAAATGGCTTCGGCACTAAATGTGAGTTAGTTAACACATGAAAAAGCAAAAAGAGTAAGAACCTACTTTTCAGTAATGTGCACACTGGCGATGTTGCATGAGGATGCAAGTTTGAATAAAGATGTTTAAAATAGAGGCACATGATTCTGAATGCACAGGTCACCACAGTATGTGACATGCAAGCACAACTTATGATGGGTTTGCAAACTATGTCTTGCTCTCTATCAAATCTCTGCATCAAGTTGCAATTTCCTTGAAAGCAGCGGAATTTAGATTTTACAGTAATTCTTGATTTTTGTTGTTGTGTTATGACATCATTTTAATACATTCATATAGTCAACATGTTCAGAATAAGATAGCACTAACTTGGTGCAGGAGGACATAGATCAGAGTGCGGCCAGCATTGTCAAATAGGAGATGCACAGTTTAAGTATTATATAAACTACCCTTCCCCAAAAACATTAACGTAGACACCAAAATTGTAACAAGACGTATCAAAAAATAAGGCACATTTATCTTGATATGGTAATCTTGAAATAGAAAACTCATTTCAGAGAACATCAATATCCAAATGAGTTTTGTAAAAAATCTTGTATTCATGATAATTACTGACATTTCTCATCATATATGATAATGGAATAATTGCACATATCCCAGTATGTCAAGTAACAAAATGGGAGTTTTATTAAACACGTTCAATGCAAAATTGTTCTGTAGATTCATATTTTCCTAGTTACATAACTCAAGCAAATGGTAGAAGTACTAAAATCTACCATCACTTGTCACAAGGACTGCAAGCTTTCATTCTACCACAATTCAAAAAAATCTCTTTTCTGTTGAATAAATTGAAATTAATTGTGGAATAAATTGAAATTATTGTCATTTATGCAAATGATTGCAAATATTTGGACATTAGCTACTACCCAAGAACATTTTATTCCATTTTAATTCCAAGCTGCATCAGGGATTTCTACATTGAATTATTTGTACATAAATTTATGAAGGATCAGCAAAACAGATTGTTTAAAATCCAAACCCCTCCCTACGAATACTAAAATAAGAACACCAGATACACCATTAGTTAGCATTTAACCTGAGATTTAATCTGTTGAGAGGTTAACATCCTTTGAAATTTCTTCACTTGTTGCATTAACTTATACTGATGTTGGTATTTCACGAAAAAAATAAACAAACAAAAAAAACAAACAAAAAACCCAAGAAAATTGCTTACAACATGGCTTTTCACTGTGTTGGTCAAAAAAAACCTACAGAATGCATGTTTCTTCTCACAGTATCCAGAAGCTGGAATAATAATAATGTGCTTCTTATTGCACGTCAAACTTGGAAGAGATACAATTGCAGATTCCTCTTCTCTGAGTATTAAAGTCAGATTTCATCTTAGCCGAATCCGGAACGTATTTATCTCCATAGAACTCATATTTATTTCACTTATGTTTCTGGCATCTGGAGGTGAATGCATCAAAGATAAAGATGTGGGTGTAAAACTTTCCAAAATGAATGTATTAAAGAGTTTATGCACCTTTATCTGGAAAGAAATATATATATATTTATATTTAGAAAATAAAATACATACCTTAACATTGACTTTAACTTAATCTTTAGCAGTGATCCCAATGATGCATCTCCTTACAGGTAATAGCACAGCAAATCCTACACCAAGGACACCAAATATATCTACATACCATGTCTCAAATGCTATGCACTAGAAAAAAGCATCTTAGGCAGTGTTCACTTGTCACATTTCAAAGCAACTAAATTAAACTTTAATCAATACACAAAAAAATTGATGGAAATATTTGGATTACAACTCTTCCTCTTTCTAATCACAATAACAGTCTTCCGTTAATAAAAGTCCCAAACCTATTTCAAGATTTGATTATGAAAATCCCACAGATTCACAACTATCCAGCCCAAGATCTGTAATCTTTAGAAACAGGCTGTATAATTACAGCAGTTACATATCACAACAATTCTACAGCATGGGTAACATGCTCAGATATTCGCAATGATGTAGGTCATACAAGTGAGCAGGAGTAGACAAATACATGCTGTAAGAGGTAACAATTTTCAAAGTAGCGGTCACATGACTTGTGAATATATTAGGTAATGCTATTCAGACAATCCACTTAAGAACTGGTGATTCAACTCTTTCTTTGATAAACTTGTCTACATTACACTATTTTAAAACTATTTGAGGAATACTGATCAGTTACTTGAAAATAATATTTACAGGAAATTAGTAAGATTAGAACTCCAACCTAGAGGTTTACTTACCGATGCTTACACAGTAATTTATACACAAGAAGTTTCATACCTTTATCAAAAGGAAGACACTATACTCAGCTTTCAAGATAAGCATAACTAACATCCTGAAACCATAACTCTTGAGAAATAACTACTAAGATTTCAACCACAATTTGACTTTAATATCTATGTTTTTGCAGAAATTACACAGTGAGATACCCATAAAATGTCACTATACCTTTCCCTGAGTAGTAGAACAGAATAGACCCACGTCTCTGTTTGAAAATCTACAATCAAAACCCTTCCTGTGAAGGATCAGAGCAGCTTCATCAGATGGCTCAAAATCTGCCTGCAAGTAAACAAAAGAAATAAAAGTTACTCAGGAAGTAGCATAGCAAGCAAGACGTTTTAGGACATCAGATTGAACAGCCACCTTTCTTCTAAGGTTTATAAGACTAAATATCAAAAGAATCGAATAGCATAGTGATTTCGGATATACAAATTGCTATAGAACACAAACCCTATGTTAACCAAGGAGTTCAAAGTCTGATAGCTATGTACATAAGTGCAGACTCAAAATTTAAGCGTAGCTAAAGTAGCTTAGTGTAGTTGTATTAATTGGCTTCCTAGATAAATTACAAGGTAAAATCAAAACAAAGTAGAACGTATGTGGTAATTGCAATAGCCAGCTTTAATTATTTGTAGCGTCTGTCTTCCATTGATTTTTCAGTTTGCGCATCTGGTCCCTAAAAATCTTACTCAGCTTAAAGTCTACAGGAAACCATACACAAATATTATATACACAAATTATACAAATATCAAATAATTTACAAATATTAAAATAAATTCTGTGTTTGCATATAGAATATACGGTGCTCTTAAGCCTCAATAAGCGTTATGCAGTAATCTCAACTTTGTAGTTTGGACCAAAACACTAAAGTCGCTTAGGTCAAAATGGCCACAAGATACACTATCATATTAATAATGGCATCTTGTTTTGATGTGTACTTCAGAGAAAGTCAGATCGTGCACCTGTCTGGAAAGCTGTTTTTACGCTGTCCTGCATGTTGCAAGCTGTTTGCTATATCACTACACTTACCTTAGTACTTTATTTTCTCTGATTTTTTATTTATTTCATTGTATTTTTCTTATTTTACTTTCTTCAGCTTTTCGTCTTATTATAGTTTAATAAGGGGATCTAATAGAGATGATCCTGACTTTGCCTTGCTAGTTCTTCGGGCTAATATTTTTATTTCTACTTTACTTACTTTTTGTACTGATGCTTTCTCCCAAGTGTCTGTCTCTGTAATGAGTTAGCTTCATTCCAGTACTTCAAGGAGCATCTACTACCTGGGACAAAACTGCCAGTTTTTCCGATGCCAAGTATGTCAGTAAGTGTTAAGCTTTTTATTATACTTTAACCCTTGGGAGTGTAAGGTATGAGAGATGCTTCACATCCAAACCTATCTCCTCCTAATAAAGGAGATCATGGCACTGAAACCAGCTTATTTGAAACACAGTATGACATAGTTGCATTGCACCACAAATTCACAGTATTAATTACTCACTGAGATGATAAAAAATAGTAAGCTGATAAACTTTACATCTGTGTTTTACTAAGTTCCTCATTTAAAAATACAAAAAATGTATTCAACTGTATTTGGGCTTCAGAAGAGATACTTAAATAAAACATTGGCAGGTGAAAACTTTGCATAGCTTGCAAGGCATGAATAAATCTCAGTTTGAGAAGGTTTCTCTAAACAAAATGGTTTGTAACAACCTAATATCAGGTTCTTAATTAGTGAATTAGGTCCATCATGAGCCTAGTTAGACAGGTTTACAGCACTTCAGATCCTTGAGGGTTGAAAATGTTCTGCGTTGTTTATTAGAACAGTGGCACCATTTTCTACATTAAATAAGGTAATTAGGATGATGTAACAAAATTAACTTCAGTTTCCAACTATGAAATGAGAGGCTTGGTTTTAACTGTCATTGATGTGACATATATTTGAAATAAAGCACTGCACTTAAAAATACATGTTTTTATGCACACAAAATAATACTGACTGCCTAAACATCAGATTAGTGAAGTATTAAAATTCATACTGCAAGAGCCTGACTTCCTATGGGGATAAAGCGAAGCTAGAAATGACAAGCCAGTCATGGATATCAACATTCCACTCTATATCCAGTGGAATTATCTTGTAATCATCTCCATAATAAATGCATTTCAAATGACAGCATGACTATTTCAACTCTTAAGTTTTTCAAAATTAAATATTATCCTAATTAAGATTCAGAATATTTAAAATAGGAAGTTATTTAATAATTAACAGAACGTTTAGGAACAGAGCTTTGCCGAGTATAAACCTCTATGATACAGCAGTCAGGCATTTAGACTTCCCCGGACTTTATCATGCACCTAACACCCCTGTGTAAAGGATTAGGCTGTTTTAACTTACTACGAAAGGAGATGCAAGATCTAGCAAGTTACCACAGCCTCTGCATCTACTTTAACTTACCTCTTCTTGTACCAGCTCTAGGTAAATTAGATTAAGTGTATGCAAGCCTAAGGGAATATCTGAATGATTATGAACCTAATTTACATCACATATACCTTCTAAATTTGCCTATAACTGTATGAAAACCTGTATCCTTTTTCTCAATTTTCAGCAAATGCCAATATCCTTAATCCTGTAAAACTTCACAGCAATGTAATATGACAAAAATTCCCAAACTATTGTACAAACAATACTGCATTTCTCAGAACAGCTGCCAAGGCTTGATTTGATTTTGATCTCTCTGAAAAGTTTAATGCTGTCCTCACATCGGCTATCTCATAAGCAGTATCTCAGGGCAACATTGCTAAGATTTTGATGACAAAATCACTTAAATAGCTTTTATCTGATTACTACAAGATAGTAGACATGCACTGAAAAGTTTAAGCAACAGGACAAAAAATGTATTTATATTTAGCATAAAAGAAAAAATGAAGTCAATTTTTAAATGCTGAGGCCCAGTCTATTTATAGTAGGTAAGATTTTTGTCAATCCATTTATAAACTAGGGTTTTATTTAAAAACGTCTTTGAATTTCATCTTCCCAAGGCATTGCATTCTTCCTTGACAGGATGATATATCTTACAACAGCAGCAATTCTTTCCTCTCTGAGGGGAATAATTTAAATGGAAACAAGGAATTCCCTTACATTTTTTTCTCATTTATGCTTTAATGCACTTTCATGCATTCTGATTTCTGCCTTAAATCTTAATAATTCTCTATTTTAATTGGATACTCTTTTTCTGTGAAATTGTAATTATACAGTCTCTTGAAAATCAGTTCCAACAGCTAAAGCAATGTAGAAGTTTACATTTCCGTAAAAAATTGTATTGCGTCAATTAATAAAAATTACGACATTTGTCACTCATTCTTGGGAAATGGAGAGAGGAAGTAGGAAGTGAGGAGAGAACTAAGGAGGACATTCTGGCATGCAAGAAATTCACTGCAGGGCATAGTATCATTTCTGCAGTGGGGAAGAACTACTCTTGCCTATAATGATAGTCCTCTTGGTGTACAACTACTACTAATTCTCCTTTTGAAGTGCACACACCAGTACTGCAAACTCAAGAGCTGTCATGACACTTGAACAATCACCAGCATGGAGGCACAAGTTTTCAGTTCTTGTAGAATTACAAAAGCTAGTCATCACACTCCAATTTAGGAAGGTAATTTGTGAATTTTATATATAATATGAGTAAAATATTTTACTAGACTATATTAATAAGCTGTATCTTATGTTTGCTCATTAAAATAGTAATTCGACTTACCTTTGATTGGATTGTCCTCAGATTAACTACGTGCATGTCACAAGGCATGGATGACATGAGCGGAGAGAAAGTATTTAACATCTCAGGGACACCTGAATCTGCATAAATTGTCATTGGAATTACAGGATGATTTATGAAAGCAGAAGTTATATGACTAAGGAGTGAGGGAAAACTGACTGAGGACTTGTCTTCATTCTGCAAAATACAAGAGAAAATACTTGTAAAGTCAACTTAATACATTAACAAGTCTAAACTTCTAAACCCATTTACTTCACATGATTCTATTAACTTAATAGAACACTTAAATTTACAGACTGACCATTTAATTACTTCTTGACCTTCTGATCATCCACTAATTCTTTCTTCTAGTAGTAGGAATACCTACTACTTTTATAAATCTTTAATACATCTTTCAAAATGATCCCGAGAAGGGAATCTTCATTTACATCATCGCTTAGTTTTCGGTGTTATCCCTCAAACACATAACCTAGAAAACATTCTTGCCCTGCAGTCTCCCTCATCAAAAACTATCCATAATGGCTTGCTTATCAACATTTACTGTTAGTCCCCTGCTGCTCACTCTCCTCTCACTTTGTGCTGTCAACCTATTTGTCTTCAACGAGGTCGGAAATTTGTTAGTGGAACGTACTGTTTGGAAATGGAAGGCTGACTTGGGCGGTGGGGGGAGGCTGAAACGTCTTGCTTGAAATTTAGTGTATTTGACCCAGTTCAGGAAAGAATAACAAACTCCCCGTTCACTAGCCCTGCAATTCTTAAGCACTTGATCAGAGGGGTCAGGTAACTGCCCCAGAGCTGGGGACTTTAAGCTTAATCTAGTTGCTCAGTGAAAAGTATTTTCAAATTCACTCTTGAGGATACAAGTGTACTTTTCAAGAGCATCATCTTTTCTAAACAGTTTCGGAGCAGAAAGAGCCTCTCGTTCTGGGCATTCTGAAATGCTGCACGTATTCTACCAGCTTGTATCACTGAAAGTGCTCTGAACAAAATAGCAGCGTGAACTAGAAAACAATTTAATAATGCTTCTGTTTTCCGCATGGAAAACTAAGCTATCATTTTTAGTACATTCTGTAACATAGGGGAAAATAACTTCCAGTAAAAATGCTACCTTCATCAAACAAGGGCAAGCTTGACTACTATATCCTCAAAAGAGCGCCTGTGCATGCTGAGGCGTTTGGGCCCCGGTTGTGCCTACTAGTATGATTTGAAATAGAGCTGGCAGAAGTGATCTTGATGCATCTGAGACCAAAACAAAAATTCCCATGACTGCTGCTTTCAGAAAAAAGCATTCTGCTCAGCTGCAACATGAAATTCAGCGCCATGCAGTAGAGCTCTGTGGGCAGACTTCAACATTGTATCTCTTTACTCACAAGCAGAAGAATTCCTGCATAACAGTTCTGTTACCAACACATAAAGTGGTTTAGAAAAACTGTCACTCAAAATTAGAATATAATATAAAAATAACCTAAACTGACCTCTGCGTAGAGTTCTCTGGTCAAAATCACAACATTAGAGGAAGCAATTCAAGATATTTGAATAAATATTTCACAAGATGAGTGTAGCTTGCAAATAAATTGTTCATCACACTTAAAAACTCTTATCTAAAAATTCACAGATTTATCAACACACAGGTGAGATATTTATTGCTCTTTTTATTGCTAATTGCTTTGGTATTTTCTGGAACTTATGTGACACACGGATGAAACAAACACAGCTGAACTACAAAACTCTGAAACATTTACCTGCTTCTCATTCTTCTAACACACTGGTTAAAGAATACACAAAATATAGGGCTTCTGATATAATAAAGTTATTTAGAAGAATATCTTAACGTTGAAAACGCTACTGCAAATTGTCTTTCCTATGTTAGACTGAAGACCTTTCACAACATTGGAAACCTCCATCTATTTATTATTTAAAGTTGGAAAAATTCTTGATAAAGCTGTCTTATGACTCCATTATTCCTTATGACTCCATCCTCTCCCCACGTGTAGGTTTCACTTAACTGAAATCTACGTATCATACCAGCTATACAGACTTCCAAGAACATTAAAATCTCAAAAAAGTCAAAAATATTACATCCTCCAATGTGTAAACAAGGTAGTTTAGAGAAAGGAGTAAGTGACTCATGACCATAGCAAGTTACTACTTCAGCAAGTTGTTCCTATCTACTCAATATCTACCTGAACGCTGACAGCCAGCTAGTCCTCCCCAGGCTGCTGCTTCTACATAAATTTCCTATCCTGATTTCCCGTATTTTCTACTTTTTTCAGATTCATCTGAATTGTATCCTCCCTGCCTCCCTTTTCCTTTTTTTAAATCTAACTTGTTAAAAATTTTTCTGGAAGCAACTGCAACCAGCATCTTTGTCGGTCTTAACTGCATAAAGCCTGCTTTTAGTAGGTGTGTTTCAACATCACGGCAGCAGGAACTCGAGGGACTTTCTCCATCTTTTACACAATTGTATTTGCAGTGCTTTTATGTGCCTGCAGAAATTGTGTCACAAATCCAAAATGGCTAAGTCCAAGCATTACTGACTTGAACTAGCAACAGCTCGTTAAAGCACCATAGAAGCCAGAAAATAGACCAACTTTAGAAAGGAATATGCAGTTCCAGAACGTCACTGAATACAAGATAAAAGTGTGGGGACACTTATTTTGGTTCTCATTTTTCTTTACATACTTAATCAAATAAAATCCTACTTGTTCATAATTAAATAAATGTTTTTTAATGAAAACCTCGCAGAGGTAAATTGCTCACAACATAATATCTTAAGCTTTGCCAAATTTAAATTTGCATTTTATGATAGGCTGAAAACACAGAAGTAAAAAAATAAATGGGAGATAAATAATCCCCTCCTTTGCTTTATGTATCAGTTCATCATAAACATAAAGTTACTAAAATTCCTGGTTTGAGGTGTGCATGCATGCACATGCATTTATTTATAATTCTGTAATACCATTAAACATATATGAATGTGTAACAACTGAAAATACGCCAGAATTGAACTGATACCAGATGGTAATTTCTGCTTTGTTCTTGGTTCCTTTCCTAATAAGGACTAAGTGTTTGCCTCTTTAGCAGCTACTAAGCATTGAGGCTAATATCTTCATAGATCTATTATGATTCCAAAATTACTTTCAAAAATGGTAACAGTCAATAGCTGCAAAGTATAGGAGTGCCCCCCCAAGTGCATCACCACATTTATCTACGTTGAATTCCATCTACCATTTTACTATGTGCTTACTCAGTCTTATTAAGTCCTCCTGCAGCTCTCCAGTTAGTCTCAATGTTTCTTACCTGCATAATTCAGCATCGCTGGCAAACTTTCTTGTCACTGTTTTCCACTTTTCCAGGTAGAGTACCAGCAAGCTTTCAGTTTGAGTGACTGCCTACATGCCCACCCACAGCGCACGTACATGTTCTTTCAAAGAATTCACCATTTTACCCCAAAAGGAACAGCAAGTGTTTACATTGTTGCCATAAATGCTCTAAAGTCACAATGTATTTTATCTTCAGTTTTCTTTTTATTTTTTAATCATTTTTCCGTAAAATAAGCTGATTGCTTGCATCTGACAACTTGAAATGCTCTCCTAGAATGTTACAAATTATACTGTGAGTCAGTCAAATAATATATTCATCCTATTATAAAATTCAAAATGAAAGATTTATCAAAAGCCCTTGCAACTGGTTCCTGATTCGAGGAGTGTGACCTAAGAAGCAGGAGAAGAAAAAATGACTGTCCAACAACTGTAATTATTTGAGATCAGTTATTCATGTACACTTTTATACTGTGGGCACACATACCCCCAAAGCATTTACAATCAGAGACTCTGCCTAAACAGTATCCAAGTTAATATATTTCCTCTCCCTCTTCAGTCATCCCTAAACACACACCCTAAAAACACGAGTGAGCAAGAGGTCTGCACCCTACACCCATCACTGTGCCCCTCACTCCAGAGTTCTCAGAATTAAGGGACTCCAAGGAGACAGAAAGAGGAAGAATGGTGAGCACTCACACAAACAACTCCTTCCTTTGACAGGTTTTATCTACGTGCTAATTATCACTGTGGATGGCACTGTAAGACATCTCAAACATTTAGCAGTTACTTGGAAAAGGGCATCAGGTCCTTGTGGGAATAGTGACTGAAAAATCATTCTACCAAACGTAGTCTTATGCCTGGAACTACAGCACTTGAAAACAAACAGAACTTGTTTAGATACCTATAAGATTTTAGGAATAATTCCTGAGAAGATGCCACCAAGGTCGCATGAGATGAGCAGAAGTGAAGCCTTTCAGAAAGTTGTGTTCTGGACACAGAAAGATATGTTACACTCAGTACAAGCATGCTATCCAAGAGGCAAAACCTGCCTAAAACCCAGAAAATCAGAGGCCGGGGGGGGGGAGGTCGGGAAGCAGGCAAGTTCGCATCCTGGCTCACATGAAGATGGTAAAAATATCAGAAGAGTCCTGAGCCTTGTCTAGGGCAAAGATAGCACAGGGCAAGTCAGTCTTCTAGGACTGCATCTTTCAAAGCCTTCTCTAGGCTAACAGAAGTAATTTGAATAAAAAGGTACTTTTTATATAGAGATGCAGTAACGTATGCTGCAGCAGAGAAACCATAACCAAGATATAAGGAAAGTGGAATCCTCAAGGTAGAAGCCTGAGTGGGAGGAAATCATTTTCAGCTGACTGGCAAAGGGATGAAATTCTCAGATAACCCAGAGCAGAACTATAAGGAAATGGCTCCTCAGTTCTTAGATTCAGGAAGTAGCTAAGGATTGTAGGAAAACACAGTCCTGGACTTTGCCAAATGCCAGAACTAGAACTGATTTGAACTGGCTCAGACATATCTTTGCTCCTGCTACGTTTAGACACGAGAGTTTTGTTACAGGCATATGCGTTTTACTTGAGGGTTACCCAAAATTCAAGTTTTGAAATGCACCACTAAGACTTAGGGGGAGATTTTATCTTGAATCTTGTATTCTCAGACCTGGAATCAGAGTCAATTTCTGGATGTCTGCACCAATAGAAATAGTGCCGTCATCTCTTCCCAGGGAAGGCAATTCAGTGAATCTACATCTGTAATGATAGTGGTCACCTTGATAAAGTTAAGCGGGTGTCAAAAGCTGCCAGAAAACCCAAAATGGGAAAACAAATTTTTGCAAATATTGCA